GATTAGGTATATTGAGAAAAAGCAGTCTGAGATTCACAGGCAGGAGATAGCCTTTGGAGAAAAATGTTGATTGAAGCATTTCTGTGTTAAGTAGAAGAAAGAAAAAAGCATCATATCAAAGTTAACAGAAACTGAGACCTATTTTTATCAGCAACTGGACGACAGAATAGTGTTCTTGCAATCTGGGAACACATTCAGAGCAGTAAGAGCAAAAACCAGTGTAGTAGGGAAAGATTCCTACAGTAAAGTGACACATAGGGAGGTGTATTTTCCACCCATTGATTTTACTATCATGTACTCATTCTAATAAAAACTTGTATTGAGAATTGACTGCCCTTTTACTGTTTTCATAGTACTGATTAGAAGTGAAAACAGCCCTATTCCTCAGATATGATATATATTTGATCCTGATACAGTGCCTTAACATGAATGCATAAATATGCATGATCTAAGTTTAACAGTTCCTCAGAAGTTGGGCAGAAAATTTTACCATATGAAGGTCTCGAACCAAAAGTTTTAAAAACAGCTATTGGGTTTGGATGTTCAGTGTAGCCATACTGAACCTAACCTTCAGAGGAAAAAAAAAATATCTACCTTTTCTAAAGATGTGTCCTTTGCAACTGGACAAATCTGAAATCAAAATTGGCCACATAAGGACTCAGATGACAACTCTTAGAAACCTACTTTGTTTTTCTGTAAACAGCAAATTGTGGCTGATAATAACTCAAGATGTAACACAGTGAGAAGGAAAATATTTTGCCCTCGTAATTTATATTAAGTTCCTCCTATGATTGCTCCTAAGTGCACTTAATAATCAACTAATGTATTTATTAGAAATAAAAATATACAACTTGCATATCTGTATGATTGGAAATCTAGATTCAAGTCTAACAAATGTGCATGACATATTTTTATTAGTTGACCTTCATATACTTAATTGCCACATTCATGATGCATCTTAATCACATTTTTTTCCGTTTTCTTCAGGTTCTAACAGTAAATATTTAATCATAAATACATTTGAAATTTATATTTCAATCACGAATTTATTCTTAATATTGCATATGAGAATCAATTGTTTATTTCTGTGTTACTTTCAAATGACCACATAAGGAACACTTAGGAAGATCATCAGGATGTCAGACTCCAGCCCACAAAATTGCCTGTAGCTACCCCATGACAAAAGATAACCTTCTTTTCCTTGGGAAATATCACAGCAGATGTATTTATTTTGCCTTTCAGAAAGCTCTAGAAGAGCAGGAATTCCTGTTGCTTACTCCAAAATGGGAAAATTCTGTACTGTCTCAATATAGTTGCTCCAATTATAGATACTCCTTTGTCCTCTCCAATCTCTAGAAAGTCACTTGATTTTCCACGCAAAATAATGAAGGTGAGTGAATATTTTTTCCATGCTATGTATATCAGTACATCTGAAAATAAAAATTTATCTTTTAAAATAGAAGTCTGACTTCTAACACTAATTTGCCAGAGTTTTTTGCTGCTTTAAGTAGTTCACAGACAAATTACAAAATTAGAATCTGTACCAAGCTAAATAAATAATTTGAACATCTGGTGGATGATGAAAGTTTTGGCTACCTAAAGGAAAAAGAAAAATATTAAGTTATAGATCTTGTATAGTACATTATTTCAGCCTGGAGAAAATATATTAGAAAAGAGTCACAGAAGGCCTCCAAAGCTTTGAAGTAAACAGTTCACACTAGAACAACAACCAGGCAAAACCATGAATTTATACAACTGTCATGATGATGTTGTTAAAAAATGTCTTTAGCACACAAATAATGAACAAGATATGAAAGACCTTAAATTAAGTCACATCAGCTCTGGATCTGAAATCCAGAGCAAATAATATGTGTAAATCCGCTTCAAAATAATCTTTAAACTGAGATTTTTTTTCTTTTTCTTTTTTTTTCTTCTGACTCTGGTTTTGTCATTGTTGCTTACTGCAGCATTTAAAATCATTCAGCATATTATATGGTATATCACAAGAGAGTGACAAACTTGAACCTGTTGTGTGTGCAATATGGTTTTGCAGGAGCCCTGACCCTGAAGAGGCATCCTGGTCCTGTGGGACTCTGACAATTTTTTGGTTTCCTGTTCACATAGTCCAGGTTGCTCTGCTAAAAGTTGTGCTGCTGGCTTATCCTCAGTCCTGTTTTCCAAGACCTCCAGAGCCTTTTTTGCAGAGCTTCTCCCCACATTCCGCACCCAGCTTGTATTTTTGTAGAGCTCTTCCTCCCTGGGTGAAGGAATTTGCATTTGACTCCACTGATTTTCACAAGGGTCCTGTTCTTCATTCATCCACTTGTCTAGGTCCCTCTGCCTCAAGTAAACTATGTCATCTCAGTCTGATGTCAGCTGCACACTGGACTGAGTGTACAACATATTCTAAAGTCACTTCTTCCAAGTCATTAATAAAGATGTCAACCAAGTCATATCCCAAAATAAGACCCCTGTGGTATTCCACTTATAGCCTGAAGGTTGAGTGAGTCCCATTAACCATGGAGCTTCATCATTACATCTATTTTTTACCCATCTATTTATTGATCCATACAGATTGTGATATCTCAGTTTGGATACAAGAATTTTGTGGTAGACCTTGTCAAAAAAATATTCCCTATACACCATATCTACCTTCTCAGGCAAATCCAGTCTTCCAACTCTCAGGTCTAATGACATTAGTTAGACATGATTTACCTTTTGGTAAGTTATGCTGTCTGTTCCTGAACACTGTCTCCTCCTTTATGTGCCCAGAAATGCACTCCAAGAGGACTTGCTCTATAATTTTCCTAGGTAACAAGGTGAATTTGGCAGGCCTTAGAGTTTTTTACTTCTGATCTTTTTAAAGATGGACTTTTGAACATCTACCTTTCTCCAGTTACTGGAGACCTACCTCAGCCTCCATGATTTTTCAGATATGATGGAGAGCAGCCTTGTGAGGACATGCCTTTACCTACAGGCTGTTGGGTCCCACAGACCTGTATGAGTAAAGCCATCTCCAGCAATCCTGGTCTTGACTCTCATTCACTGCTGCTTGCTCTTCTCTCGGAGCCATTTATTTGGCCTTGGCAGAGATCTTACTGGCAAAGGCCAAGACAAAGAGCACTTAATACTTAGACCTGTGTTCACTGCCACTAAATGACTTCATTCAGCAGTGTCCACATTTTCCTTGTGCAGATTTTCACTACTAATGTAGCAGTTGAAGCTCCTTAGGGCCCTTCATGTGTGTTCCAAGCTTCATCTGTCATGGAGCCTGTTTTTTTCTAATACCATCCTTACATCATATGGCAATGTTTCTGAATTCTCCTTTGAAGTGTGTCACTGCTTCTACCTCCTGTATACAATGATTAAAAAAATGAAAAGTGCATTATTTGCTTGATTTAAATTTGTCTCTCTACTGTTGTATGGAATTTTATACTGTAAAAAGAACAGTGGTTTCATTTCCTTTCATCTATAGACATTGTTGAATATAAGTGTGTTTGTACAATGTTGCATATTCTTTGGTTAATAAATTGAACAATTTACTACAATTTATTAAACAAAATGAACAGGTTGTACAATCTGTAGTGCTTCCCATTATAATGAGTATCTTACCTGTACTAGTAAAAATATCTCTCTACTTTTTGTCTTAAAAATATATTTTATCATTTCAACATAACAAAATCTCAGTCAGATCCATCACAGCTCCTACAATGACAAGCAGCTGATTTTCAACAAAACTGAAAGTCAGATAATTTAAAATATAGTTATTATTTTTTTCCCATGAGTATAACCCAATGCTGTAATGCTGAGTGTTTAACAAGATTATAAAATGATTATAATGAATGATTATAAATTGAATCTAAACACAAACGTCTATAATATAATTAGGAGTATATGTTATTATCCATATGAATCTTTTGACTTTAGAAACCATTGTTGAACACTCATAGTTGAAAAACTGTTTTATAATCAGATTATAATGCAGTTATGTCATCTGACACCAGTTAAATGTCAGAGAAAGTAGTAACTTGATAGAATAGACTATTGGTCAAATTTAGTATGTAGCTTTGTTGGTTTCCTTGAAATATAGAGAATTTACATTTAATACTTACATTAGTTTTACATGGACATTAAGCAGCTTCAACAAAGCAGGAATCAAATCCTCATTTTGATGGCAATTTACAAGAGGGATCATTGCTTTTATGAACATCAGATAATTTATAATCCCTGCAACTACTCTCAACAAAATCCATGTTTATAAGCAACAGCACCTTCTTTATGAGAAAAGGTAATTATTTTTTGTTGGAGGGAACAGATTTCTCATCAAATGCAAATCAAGGAAGTTTAAGTGGAAAACAATGGCAAGTCAGAAAAGAAATTTTAAAGGCTTTTGAAATGTTATATCTGCATAATTGGTTTAAGTGATTGAAAAAAATATTTAATATCCTAGCTATGATGATCTATGGAAGTTTTCATGACAATTAGCATATCTCATTTCACACCCTCCCTTTCTTCCACCAAAATAGAGAAATATCTTTCTTTCCTTCTTTAAAGAAATTATGATTTCATAGTACCTGGAGTAGACCTTTCTGTCATGAAGGACAAGAGAGTATTGATACGTAAAACTCAAATCCTTAATTGGCTAATTGGGCATTTAAAATATAAACCTGTGAAAGATACCACTTTTAATGAAGTGAAACTTTCTGAGAAATATGAAAGGCTTCCCTTTCACCTTCTCCATGAACCAACTTTCAGTATAAAGCAAAGAGAGCCCCTCATCTCCTGGAATAACCCTAGAGGCTGGAAAAGTTATTTGACGTACAGACTTTCACACAAAAACTCCCAGCAAAAAATTTTTACCAGAGCTAACATTTCTGTTGAATCCATTTAATTTCAATACCTAAGTAACCAGGGGGACTGAGACTTGAACTGCGATCTCCCTGATTATAAGTGAGTATCTTACCTGCTAGAATGATTTTTTTTTTTATTCTTCTTTTATTATTTTGTTTTATTCTTCCCATTCCACACCTGGAAAATAAGGAACCTTATTTTAGAGTAAAAATAGAGCAAATAATTTAGAATAAAAATTCTGTTGGACTGTGTTATGTTCCAGGAACATTATAACATGGATAAATGAATTCCTTATTGTTTTGTGTCCAAAGTCTCCAGGGATATAAGCAGTTGACATTAGCATTGCTATTTATTTCCTTTTAAAATAGTATTGTTTATGAATAAATTTCAAAGTTAGTTTTCATGTATAACAATACTGAAAAAAATTGCTGGCTTGATGCATTTCTTGGTGATTAATCTTCTTAAAATACAAAGCCAAAATAATCAAACAGCATGTAAATATGAAACATTTTAAATCTCTCAAGCACTACTTCTCATTCATAGGGCATAGCAGATAAACAGGTTCTTAAAAAACTGAATTAGTGACATAGTATATTTGTTACAATTATTTCTAAAGAATATTTCTTCTCCAAATAATCATATTGTCTAGTGCCAGCACAATATCTGCAGGTGCACCTGTTAGATATTTCTTCCCTTCCTGAAAGCATATGTTAGATTTATACATATAGCATGACCAAGACTGCAAATATTAATTAATCTTTACAGCTAGTGGCTGAATGAGTCTGACTGGCACAAAAAACCCTGACAAACAGAAGCTTTGTGGTAAGTAGCTTCACAAGATCTGTTTGGCAAAAGCTTTTCAGGCATGTATAGCATTTGAATACTACATCAGTAGAGGCTGAAAGGCATGTTTTTCACAAAAAAATTGGTATTTATTACATTGAGTAATCAAAGCACACATTTTAAAGAGATGTATATTTTGTAATGTTTATAATTTTTTTTAATATAAATCTTTTCCTTATTGAATTATTAGTTGGGCCCATAGGAAATATCAGTCTCCCAGAAAACAAACATTTCAGTGGCTTTTGTAGAGAATGGGAGCATTATTGCATTATATATATTCATCAAAGTCATGGATATTTCTATTACATTTCTCAGCTAGTTAAGCCTTTCTATAGATGCAAGTCTTAGAGAAAGCAAAAAGGAAGAGAAAGTAATTGGAAGTACAGATTCAAGTCTAAGCTAGGCAACTAAATTGTGCCAAAATTTTAAGATTCTAGGGGCACATTTCTCCTGAAAATATGCTCGTGGACAAGGTGAAAAAGAAAGTACTTTTGAAGTAGTAGACAAGAAGTTCTTGTCTACCTAATTTAGGGTTCTAAAATTAATTCCACCTTGAAAATATATCAGCAAGCAGAGGGAATGAAGTTCAGACATGATAAAAAGGCACTATGTCCATGTGCAAGGAAAAATTACAAAATCCAAAAGATTCAAAAACTTTAATAGCTTTACTCAGGGAAAAATGACTTTATAATCAGAAAGAGTTTGTGAGGGTGCTGTTGTAAACTTTATGACAAAGCTGCAGCATAGTGGATAAAACAGTCTGGTACCCAGCCTGAGAAGAGTCAGCAAGTGAGAGAAGCTCCTCCCAATGCAAAGGATGTCTGGAGACCCTGAGGAAAGGTTCAAAACCTGTGTTCCTAGGCACACATATATCCTAAACCATAACTCAGCAGTTTCAGTGACATTTTCTGTAGCAGGCATCTCTTATACTGGAGGCAGAGCTATCCTCCAAGAACCTGCATATGCTGCCCTGCAAAAGAATGATAACAAACATTTCAAAGACCAGCAGGTTTCAAACTCGAGCTCTTTAGGGCATGACAGCTTTCTGACACAAATAATGGAGATGTGTCAATTTTATTGTCATTTGGATCTTACTTCCTTAAGAATAGACGCCAAAATTAGGTTAATTCACAGAAATTTTTGGGGCAGAACCCTTTGGCTATGCTTTGTCACTGGACTCCCAGGCAGGCAGAGTACTTGGTGCACACCTATTCTCAAAAGGATTGTGACTTAAGAAATTAATAGCTATATATTCAATGGGTCATTAAATGTAGATGTGCTTCAATTTTGAATTATTATTACAGTGTATGGTGTCATAAAATTATATGGAATATCATCTAACCCTTTAAACCAACCAAAAAAATAGAAAAAATCAGTGTAATATAAATTTGCTAATTTTTTTCTCATACTTAGAATCAAATTTCTACAACGCATTTAAAATTTATTTACAATATTAATTTATGAATGCTCCAAAGATATTTTTTCTTATATAAAATTACTAAAAGTAATTTTATACTACTAAAAAAGTAGTATATACTTTAGTATATATGTATACTACTAAAAGTAGTGCACTGTTATATAAAACTACGAAGAGATGAGTGCACTGCAGCTGAAGCACAAAACCCGGACCAGAAGCTGTTTGTCACCTCTGAGATTTGGATGAATTCACCCCCTGTGGCCATCAATACTCTGGAAAGTTGTCCATATTATGTTTTCTTGTAAATCAACATTAAAATCAGCAGGCACTAACTGTAGTAAGGTCTCTGTTAAGTTGCAAGCTCATTAAATCCTGTTCTAAATCACAATTAAACCTTCTGTGGTCCTAATCTCCCAAACTACTGATTGAACTCACTAAATTATTGAGCTGCTGAAAGTAAAAAAAAACCAAAAAAACAACTGAGAAACAAGTAACTCAGACATTAAATGTACTTTGGACACAAATAAAGGACTTAAGCCACCTTGGGAAAAAACCCAAAGAAATTGACTTTCACTAAGAAGCCACTTTGGCTTCTGTTTAGATCATTAGTTAGTTTCAGAGTCAGGAATGGGCCTAAAATTGCTCCATGTCTTCCTTAAGCTTACCATCAGAGAGTAGAGATGCCCTCAAAACTATAGTGGTCCTAGCTCAATGTCCAAAGGGCACAGTGGCTGTGCTTCCAATGCTCTTTTGTTAGCTTTTGCTGTTCTCTCTCTATTCATCATTTCTCTGTCGTGTTTAATACTCTTTCCTGCTAACCCTTGTCAATACCTCTTTTTTGTGTGCTCTACCATTGATTGACCTTGATTCATCTATAAGAGGATGACATGATGAAAACATAACTGTTCACAAAGAGGCAAGAAGATTTGTAACAGGTACTCAGTCTTATAGATAAAGAAACTTCATTCTGAGAAAAGAATTCTCTTCATCCATTCTGAGAAAAGAAACATAAATAACAGTCTTTGGAAAGACAGTTAACAAACCTGCTCACCCTGTTTGTGCCTCTCCATCCTCTAAACCATATAACCAGTGCCTGTGAATTTAAATAATACACATTTCTTAAATCTCTGGATGAATCCCCCTCCTAACATTTATTCTTGTCAGAAAAAAACCCAAATCAACCAGGTAGCAGGCTATGTCTACACTTGCTCAATTCCATAGAACAACATTAAATATGGCTAAGTTAAATACATTCAGACTGTGTTTTGAGAAGTAACAAATTTCCTGTACAGCATTTAGTCTACAGTAAAAAACCTGTTTTATATGCAGGCAGATGGTTGCTCAGTTGTGATGAATGTCATAGTTGGCTCAGCTGCGTGGGAACGACTGCTTTAGTATTGCAGGCCAATCCAGGAGAGTGGGCACTTATCCCTTTGATGGTAATACCAGTGAACGTATGCATGAATGCATGAATGTAAGTGGCTGAATAGCTGCATTGAAAAATCAGTGTCTTTGCTTTTGATGAGAATGTGAGTCAGCTATAGGAGACAGAAAATTTTCTTCTTTTTGCCTGCAGTTTGTCAAGAAACTGTAAATATGTTAGTCAAGAATCAAGACTGCATCATTTTAGGTAAGATGCATTACCAAACACAAGGTAGGCTACTCCTGTGTATGTTTTGAGGGCTTTCAAGTTTTCTGAATTCTCATTAACTATATATTGGTCCTTACTATAATGATGTAGTCAAGTTTTAAGTTATTTCAAGCTACATGTTTTCCATAATATATAAAAAGGAAAATATGAATTACCCCCCTTATTATATGAAGTATCCAAATACTTATCATGCATACTAGATATTTGCCCTTAAAATATTGCTTATTCCTTTAAAATGCTGTTTGAAGTGTGGCTTCAATCAAAACTGTAACATTTGGTGATACTAAAATAATGTAAAGATGATACAAGCTCTTTCAGCCTTAATGAAACTTACAGAAATTTTATACTAATTTGTTGAAAGACAGACTCATGGGCCAGCAGTGAAAAGTTATTTTAATAGCTAAGTTGGAAGAACCCATTGAACCAAAGGGATATGAAATGTAAATTCTGGCAAACCCTCGACTGTAGCATTGTAAATTATGAAACCCTAATATTACACTAATCATCCTATCATTTTTCAAAAATAATGTTCCCAAAATGAAATATAATAACTGGGAAGCCCACTTCAACATTAGTCAATAAACTAATAAGCTTGTTAAAAGAAAATAATTACTTGGCTGCAGTCTTTGAAGAGCATCTATTTATTTTTGAAATCCTCTGAAATACAAGAGAAAAAAACTGAATAAATCTTAGCACAGGAATAAACTTTCCCTCTTGGATTTCTTGATTAATTAATGATTAGTAGACTCTTATACATGAGGCCAAACAGCTGAATGCTTAGAAATCAAGAAAAGAGAATCATAAGGCTTATCTCTTCCCTCTGAACTTCAATAATAAATATAGCTCTTCTTGTTGGATTCATATGCTACATGGAAAATAAATTTGTTATTAAATTTGAATTTCCATCTTTCTCAACCACTGCACTTCTAGCTGCTTGAGCAAACTTGGAATTCATGTTTGGGTTGTGGGGCTGATGAGTATAAATCAGAGATTAGCTACTTGTTCTTGGTGTAATTGTGAGAGAAAAGTTCTTTAGCGAAAACTTCCTCCATTCATCAAAAACTTTAATTAGCAATCACCTTACTCCAGGCTTGATTGGATAACTCCTCATTCCATGAAGGGCTAGTAGATGTTTTTCTGCTTCTGAATAAACATGACAATAATTTGGGCTAAAACGTTCCTACCGATTTCAATTTTAAAACCCACTCAAAGACTCAAAACATTTGTCTTATTAAAAACACAAATAAACAAAAAACCAAAAAAACA